CTCCCCCCACAGAACCTTCAGAAGGAACCTTGCTGACACCTTGATTTCTGACTTCTATCTCCAGAACTGGGAGAGAATAAATGTCTACTTTCTTATGCTACCCAGATTGTGTACTCCATTGAGCAGCCCTCAATACATTGTTAATCCACTGAGCAGCAGACCCAGGACTCTTATTTTCAGATTCCTACACACTAGGCAGCCTTAGTTAAGGGGTGTGAAAGCCTGTGAAAGCCTATGAGAGGTCATTCTTGCCTTTCCTTCATCTCCTGACCCAAGATGGCCTGAAGTCCACCACCTGTGCTCCTTCCCATCCTAGGTCTCTATCCATCCCACAGGGCCCTTCTCTCACACAAACAAGCACCCTCTGAGCCCAATCTCTAGGTCAACAGCACACACACACACACCCCCCCCTCACCTCGCCTTCTACCTGGCCCATCCTCTACCACCACCTGTAGAGCTGTGTTTTTGAAATGCAAATCTGATTCTTCCAGAGGCTGGCTTAATCCTCTTCCCTAGCTCCCTACCACCTGTAGAACTCCAGCTCTTCAGCCTGAGCCAGATCTGGCCCCAAACTTCCTCTCCAGCCTTACTTCTGGCCAATGGCCCCACCTGTCCCTGCCACTCGCCGCCTTCTGTTCCAACCAGATGGAACTATTTGGAATTCCCCTAACAAGCCTTGGTGCCTTTGCACATGCTGCTCTAACTAGCTGGAAGATAAATCCAGCCCAAACACCATCTCTCTTCTTTGTGAAGCCTTTTCCTTAGTGAACAACCTCACCCTGATACCCTGTACACTGTATACCTTTACACATCTGCCCCTACACCCTGCCTGTGAGGACTGCTGGATTCATCTCCATTCCTGGAGGCCTAGGGCCTGGCACAGAGGCATATAAGAATGTTGAACTGGGGTGTCTGGATGGCTCAGTCGGTTGAGCATCTGACTCACGTGTTCACGATTCATCGTTCACAAGTTCAAGCCCTGCATCAGGCTCTGTGGTGACAGCTCAGAGCCTGGAACCCCCTTCAGATTCTGTGTCTCCCTCTCTCTCTGCCCCTCCCCAGCTCATGCTCTGTCTCTCTCTGTCTCTCTCTCTGTCTCTCTGCCTCTCTCTCAAAAATAAAAACATTTTTAAAAGTGCTGAATTGAATAGTAGCAATTGCAAATACTTATCAAATGTTTACTACCAGCTCAGAACTGGTTACAGCATCCCATGTATGTTACCACAGTTTATTTTCAAAAAACAACCCTGTGGAACAGATAATATTATTGGTTCTATTCAGAAGGTGAGGAAAAGAAGGAAGAGATGAAGTGCCTTGCCCAAGTCCACCCAACTATGTGGCAAAGCCTGAATGACTCTAGAGCCCATGCTTGTAACCAATATTAAGTACACCATCCATCCTAATACCCTCATTTTACAGAAGAGGAAACAAATAAAAAAAAGGAAAAGTGACATGCCCGCATACAAGCCATGGACCCAGATCTCTAGATTCCGTATTCAATGCTCTTCTTCTTCTCATTATTATAGGATCCTGTTCCAGGAGGACACAGATGCTAGCAAGACTGTATTTTCTGGAGAGCTTTCTCCTGCCTGCCCTAGAGCAGAGTCCTGCATGGATGGGCCCAGGCACATAGCCAGGGTCCATCTATGGCCAGGAGATGTAGCAGCAAAAAAGACAGATAAATCTGCCTCTAAGAAGTCTGAGGCCTGCTTAGATATTACTATGTCAGGTCTGGCAGGGACACTTTGGGAATCACTTAGTACCATCACCCATTATATAAAGTCATCGACTTCAATAAATTTATTGAACACCAATCATAAGCTGGGCACTGTGTGGGGGCACTAGGAAGAATGACAGCAAATTTCTGCTCAGATGGCATCTGCACTTCACTGAGGGGAGACAGACAAACAACTAGCAAGTTATGTATAATTACAAACTCTCACAAACACTATGAACTACAGGAAGCTGTAAGAATGCGTAACAAGAAAATTTGACCTATTCCATGGAGTTGGCAGAAGCCCTCCTGAGAAAATCACTCTTGGGCTCAAATCTGAAGAATGGGAGTTAAACAAGGTAAGAAGCAAGGGAAGAGTGTGCTAGACAGAGAGAACAGAATGTGCAAAATCCCAGAGGCCAGAGAACTCATGGTTCCTGGAGGAACCAAAAGAAGGCCAGAAGAGCTGGTTTCCAGAGAGGTGGGTAGGGTCTTGATCCTGAAGGTCTTATAGGTCAAGGTAAGGAGTGGAGAACAGAGCAGACCAGTGCAACCCCTTGCTCAGAGCCTAGCCCAGAACAGACAATGAGTTATAACATTATTCAATGAAAGAGTGATTTGTCCAAGATCTCAGGGAAGACCTGGGACTTGAAACCAGAACCCCGGCCTCCCAGGCTAGGGCTGCGGGGCCACTTCAGTACATGTGTGGGAGAAGGCAAGGGATGCTTTTCTGGGGTTTCAACCTATAGGAGGTTCGTTTCCTATCTGTACCTCTCTTAAGTTCTAGGGCAAGACAATAACCTGTGTTTGTTAAAACACAGACTGCTGGGTTCCATGAGTCATTGATGCAGTTTGTCTGATGGGAGCCCCCCAGATCTGCATTTCTAACAAGACCCCAGGTGACCCTGCTGCTGCTAGTGGGGTGACCATACCTTGAGAGCTACTGCTCTAGACTAGAGGATATGGGAGCAAAGGGGCATGGTGAGTGGGGATCAAGGCCAGGATCCTTGGGGACTAAAAAAAGGTAGATTTCTAAATCTGGGTAACAATGAGACAAGCTCCATCACTCCAAGAAACCTAAGGGTGCTCTGAGTCCCAGAATCTATCCTACTACCTGCTCAGCCAGGGAAACTGAGGCTTAGCAGGTTTAGACTCTTACATAAGAGAAGCACAATACAAATGTGCTGAGTGAACAGATAAACACAAAAGGGTTTGACCAAAGTCCAAAGAAGACCCTTGGACCAAACTCCAGGGCTCCTGAGCTCCAAGCCCAAGTCTTTCCTGTCCTGGGAAAGGGATTCAGGGAAGGGGACGGCAAGCTCAGCTTTGCCCAGATTCTGCTGCCAGAAACATTTTAAGAATTGCAGAAATCTGCTGTTGGCCCCCAATCCTATCACCCATCCACCCTCCTTCCTTTTACACTCTCAGCTCCCTCCCTCTACACTCCAAATCCTGTGCACTTTATCCTGGCAAGCAGAGCAGCAGAGGGGGGAGGTAAAGTAATAGGGAAGAAAAACTGGAAGTGGAGGAAGAATTCCTGCACTTGGATGTCCTTCCTCCAGAACAATTCCTTCCTCCTTATAAGAGTCTCAGTTTCTCTCTATCCTTGTATCCAGTCTACCCCCAATCTACTCACATTTCAGTACCAGCATCTGAAACCCACAAAACCAGGGGTTTTAAATCTCTAAACCAGCTTTTCACCCAGTTTTTCTATATTAGAGTGGTCCTGGACAGAATTTTTCTATCCTATCCTAGCTGGCAGCAAGATGCCCTGTCTCCTGCAAACCCACATGCATAGGCTAATATACAAACAGCTATATATGTATGTAAAAACAAATATACCAGAACTTATAAAAACACATACTCATGTACATCAAGATACATTATTCATTGTTCACTGACAAAACATACCTAGGGACCCAAATGCACAAGAAAAACACAGAGAGACACACATGCAGTCAGACTACAAATCTAGACATGCGTGTGCTACACCAGTACATGGGGAAAGGGGTTACAGACACACCCAGAGACCACTCTCAAGAGTAGAGGTCTCCTGAGGGGCCGGGGTGATTCCTGCACAGGCTCTGGCCCTTTAAGAGAGCGGTTCTCCCTCCTTTCAGGGCACCTAAGGGGCAGCTCTACCCCTGAGAGCTGTAAGGGTGAGGGTGGCACTGTGGCTGACCCGGCCAGATGCCGTCGGACTCTGGGCCACTGTTCCCGCGCCGCGACAGGAAATGGATCCCTGAACCTACTGGGTCACCAGCCTGGGGGCCGCTGTTGCCGCCACCACCACCCCACACCCACACGCACACACGCCCACCCCTCCACACACACAGGCAAGCGCGCGCGCACACACACGCGCGCACACACACACACACACACACACACACCCGGGCTTCAGGCAGGACACGCCCTCCGCTCCAGCTCGCTGGGCGCGAGGGCTCCGCCGTCAGCCCAGCTCCTTCGGGCCCCTGGGGTGTGGTCGGCCCACCTGCCAGCAGACTCTCCGCCCGGCGGGGACACTCCCGCCGCCGCCGCCACCCACCGCCCCGGCCAGGTGCCTGGCTCGCGGGGACTACAGCGCCTCGGCGGCCGCCCCCACCCCTTCCTCCCGGCAGTGCGGAGACAAAGCCGCGCACACGCACACGGGGGCTACGCGGGTGCACACCCGCCCTCACACGCGCACACACGGGGAGTCACACTGGCGCTCACACGGCAACACACACACACACACACACAGCCACAGGGTCCAGCCACAAGCGAAGCCACTGGCACACACCCTCATCCAGATGTACACACACTCAGCTACATATTCGGACACACCCTCTAATAGACACACTCACGAACAGACACACGCAGACACACACACCCTCACCCAGATACACACACACCATCCAGTCCAGACACGCGGAGACACACAGCGCACACCCCCCCTCCCACACAGATGCACACCCGGAGCACACGCACACGCGCGCACACACAGTAACCACTTGCCCAGACCTACGGGCACACGCGCGCTCACATCCAACACCCAGAGATGTGGACCACGCCACACATACCGGCTCCAGTACGGAGACGCACGGACCCGGACCCGGGGCTCCTGGCTGGGACGCCCGCCCCCCAGCCCCCCGCCGGGCCGGTGTCCAGCCCCCCGGAGCCGGCCCGCCGGCCTGTCAATGCTCGAGGACGGGAGACCGATCCTGGAGCCCTCGCACACACAGACACACGCGAGAGGAGACGCGGCAGGGTCCCCGGGGCCCGGACGAGGGTGGCGCGGGCGACTAACCTGGCAACGGCGGCGCGGCTTCCGGGCGCTGTCTGTCCTCAGTCCGTGCGTCCGGCGGCCGCCCGGGCGGGCTCCGAGGCGCACTCGAGCTGCGCAGAAATGCCCCACTCGCTCGCTAGCTCCCTCCCTCCCACGGCGCCCAGCCCCCTCCCCGCCCTCCCCCCACACCCCGGCTCCCCCCTCCGCCCCGCCCCGGCCGGCTGCCCCCGGGGAGGCGGCGACGGCGCTCCCGGCCGCCCCAGCAGCCACCCGCGAGCCAGCGAGCAGCGGCGCCGAACGGCGGGCAGCCGGGGAACGCCGCAGCCTCCGGAGCCACCAGAGCCGCCGGAGCCGGGGCCGCGCGTTGGGAGGAGCCGCGCCGGCCCCGGGGGAGGGGTGGGGAGGGGGCTGAGCCCCGTGAGCCCGCCTGGCGCCCGTAGCCCGCCGCCCGCCGCCCCACGTGGGCCCCGCGCCTGGCGCCTACCTGAGCCGCCGCGGAACTCAGAGGCCGGGGCCGAGCGGCGGGGTGAGGGAGAAGAGACCCCCACCCGGGCCTCCTCGCCCTCCCCGGCCCGGCCCGGCCCGGTGGGCTCCCGCCCCGCCCCCACCCCCTCCCTCGGCCCGGCCAGCGCCGGCGAGGGTTTTCCGTAGCTAAAACGCCTCGGCTCCCGGCCCGGTGCCCTGGGCTAACCCTACGGCCCGGCGCCCCGCTCGGCGGCCTCCTCCACCTCCAGCCCGGACCTGGCCGACGCCCACCAGCCTCCCCGCCACCCTTCCATTGTTCCCGCAGCCGGAGCTTGCGGAAGATCGCGCAGTGCCTTCCAGCCCTCTCCCAGGTGGCAGTACCTCCGGACTCTCTGCGGGGCCCTGCCAGGGCTGGCCCCTGGCCCCTGGCCCCGACGCCCACCGTCCACAGGCGCTGGTACGATCAGAGTAAAGAGCTTTCTAAATTAGGGTTATAACCTCTGGCCCTTATAGGCGCTCCTTCAGGTCCCACTTGGAGTACAGATTGAGGCTTGGGGAGGGAGAAATTAACCCAAATTCAGCAAGCCCGAGATAGCCGCGGGGAGAAGATGGGGGGCACCGATTAGGTGTCTCCATTCCACAGATGAAGAAACTGAGGGCTCCTTGGACAACGCCAGGCCCTCCAGAAGTACAAGGAATAACGGGCCTGCCCTCCTTTGTTAGATACTGAATAAAGCAGAGCTAGGGGAAAGAGGCAAGTGTTATGTATTTCTGGGGTTTTACTGAAAGTCAGAAGGAAGGTAAAGGCCTACTCTGGGCAGAGGCTTTCACCTACTTTGTCTCCCTTAGCCTCGACTATAATCCTATGAGGCAGCTGTGATTATCCCCATTTTGCAGATGAGCAGCCGGTCCTAGGTGTCTCCAGCAGGCAGCACAGAACTCAGATAAAGCCCAACCATGGTTCAACTTCTTCACTGTGGTCCTTTCCTCCAACATAGGAAACTAAGTGTCAAATGAGCAGCTGAGATCTTAAAAAATCAAGGAGAGGAGGCTTAGTTTGCACTCCGAAGAACTTCCACCAACTTAAGAGCAGAACTGAGCGAGCCAAGGCCCCAAAGCAAGACTGAGCATGTCTTGTCCAGGAGGAAAAAAATTATAATTAATAAGAACTAATGATAACCGGCATGTTTGGAGCACTTACACGAACTCATTTAATCACACAATAATCTTGTGAGAATGAGGCTAGTCTTATCCCCACTTTCTACAATAGGAAACTGAAACACAAAGACATAACATAGTTTGATAAAGTGGCAGAGCCAGGATTCAAATCCAGGAAGCTGATTCCCAAGCCTGCGTTTTTAACCACCGTACACCAGCCAGAAGCAGCCCCAGTTGTGAGACAAAGGCATTTGAACTACTAGTGTGCCCACCACAGCAGAACCCTGTTTAACTGGCTGCCTTCTGTCTCCCTGTGTGTTCTCAGGACACAGCACGCAAGGCCTGGTATGGAGGCCTCATTTGTTCAACTACTGCATGACTGCCACATGAGGCTGCAGTGCTGAGTGCCACGTGCAGGGCTCAGTTGCAGCCCTCTCTGCTCTGCTGGCATTTTTATCAGTGGTTTTAGATGAAGCAAAGACAGGCATGAAACACTTATCAAATCTACAGCTGGCATGAGGCTGGAAGGGACGGCAAACACTCTGTAATCCAAAATTAGCTTCCAGAAGATCTTAGCAGCCTTGGGGCCACGCTGGAACCAACGAGATGAGGTGCCACGCAAAACAAATGTAAATTCCTGCCCCCTTGGTCCAAGCCAAAGCAGTCCCATAGGACTTTCTGTGATAATGGAAATGTCCTAAATCTGCATTATCTTATAGGAGAGCCACTAGCCACCTGTGGCGGTAAAGAACTTGAGATATGGCTAGTACAACTAAGAAACTGAAATTTTAGCTTCATTTAATTTTTAGTACTTAAAATTTAACTAGCCACAAGGGGTTAGTGACTGCCATATTGGACTGTACAGTTCCAAATGATCAAGTGCCCGAAGTACAAGATATAAAGAATCTAGATTTAGAAGAATTCCAGTGAAGGGCATCTGGGTGGCTCAGTGAAGCGTCAGACTCTTGATTTCAACTTAGAGCATGATCTCACGGTTTGTAAGACTGAGCCTCACGTAGGGCTCTGTGCTGAGAGCTTGGAGCCTGCTTAGGAATCTCTCTCTTCTGCTCTCTCTGCTCCTACCCCACTCTGTGCTCTCTCTCCCCGCCCCCCTCCACTCTCTCTCTCTCTCTCAAAATAAATAAGCATTAAAAAAAGAAGAAGAGTTCCAGTGAAAATGACTTAAAGGTTTGAGTTGACCTCAAGTTCAACAGTGTAATATGGCTGTAAAAGAGAAAGGGAGGGAGGGAGGGAGGGAGGGAAGAAGGGAAGAAAAGAAGAAATGGGGAAAGTGAACATGATATACTGTATCAACAGAAACCAGAGGTCAGACCAGCCAGGTGCTGCCCTGGGCAGATCACTGCTGAGCCATGGGGGCTCGGCTCTGGGCAACACTGTCACACAAGAACATGTCTATAGGAGGAGACAGAATGCTGAGGACCTAGATGTCATGTTGTGTGATGACTGATTTAATAGCCTTGAGAAGGGAACGCATAGGGTGGACATAGTGGCTATCTCCAAGCCTCTGAAGGGTTGTCACACAGAAAGCAGATTTATTTCCTATTATTCAGGTCTAATAAAAAAAGCAAAAAATTCTGCAACCCCCTGGGCCACGTTGTCTGAGGGAAGGATCTATGTCTAATTTATCTTTTTGTTCCTCTGGGTATCTAGTCCACCGAGAACTTGGCACATATTAAACGCTGACTACAAACTTGCTGACTGAATAGATGTGAAAGAATCCCACTCAGCTCTAGTGGGTAGATATTGGGGAAGACAATTTCAGCTCACTATAAGAACGTGCTAACCGTCACAGCTACCCAAGAATGAAACTGTGACCTTGGGAGTGATGAGCTCCCTGACAATATATGTATTTAAAGAGATTGGGTCTTCATATCCATGTGACCAACAGACACATGAAAAGATGCTCAGTCACATGTACCCCAATGTTCGTAGCAGCACTCTCCACAGTAGCTAAAACATGGAAAGAGCCTAAGTGTCCATCAACGGACGAATGGATCAAGAAGATGTGGTTTATCTATACCATGGAATACTACATGGCAATGAGAAAGAATGAAATCTGGCCATGTGTAGCAACATGGATGGACCTTGAGGGTGTTATGCTGAGCGAAATAAGTCAGGCAGAGAAGGACAAATATCATACGTTTGCACGTATAGGAGGATTAGGAGGAACTTGACGGAGGAACAAGGGGGAGAAGAAGGGGGGAAATGGTGGGGGAAAGGGAGAGAGGCAAACCATGAGAGACTCTTGAATGCTGACAAAAACTGAGGACTGATGGATGTGGGGGGGAGGGGGGATGGGCATGGAGGAGGGCACTTTGGGGATGAGCACTGGGTGTTATGTGGAAACTAATTTGAAAATAAACTATTTGTAAAAAAAATAAATAAATAAAAGCTGAAATAATTTGAGCAAGAAAATAAAGATTATAAATTAAAAAAAAAAGAAAATATGCTCAGCATCACTTATCATCTGGGAAAGGCAAATCAAAACGACAATGATTTTACCTCATACCTGTCAGAATGGCTAAAATCAATGACACAAGAAACAACAGGTGCTGGCTAGGATGTGGAGAAAAGAGAGTCCTCTTTCTTGCACTGTTGGTCTTGCACTGTTGGTGGGAATGCACACTGGTGCAGCCACTGTGGAAAACAGTATAGAAGTTCTTCAAAAAGTTAAAAATAAAACTACCCTGTGCAAGCCAGGAATTGCACAACTAGGTATTTACCCAAAGAAAACAAATATACTAATTTGAAGGACACATGCACCCCAGTGTTTATAACTGCACTACCTACAATAGCCAAATTATGGAAGCAGCCCAAGTGTCCATCAATAGATGAATGAAAAGAAGATGCGGCATATGTATATATATAGAGAGAGAGAGAGACATAGATATGTGTGTGTGTGTGTGTGTGTGGAATATTACTCAGCCATGAAAATTAGTGAAATCGTGTCATTTGTAACAACACAGATGGAGCTATATAGAGTATTACACTAAGCAAAATAAGTCAATCAGAGAAAGATAAATACTATGTGATTTCACTAATAAGTGGAAATCAGAGAAAGATAAATACTATGTGATTTTACTAATAGGTGGAATTTAAGAAACAAAATAGGGGTGCCTGGGTGGCTCAGTTGGTTAAGCATCCAACTTCAACTCAGGTCATTATCTCACAGTTTGTGGGTTCGAGCCCCGCATTGGGCTCTGTGCTGACAGGTCAGAACCTGGAGCCTGCTTCAGATTCTGTGTCTCCCTCTCTCTCTGTGCCTCCCCCACTCGTGCTCTGTCTCTCTCTCTCTCTCAAAAATAAATAAACATTAAAATTAAACAACAACAACAAAATAAACAAGCAAAGGGAAATGAGAGAGAGGGAGAGAGAACCAAAACAAGAAACAGACTCATAACTATAGAGAACAAAAAACTGATGGTTACCAGAGGGGAGGTGGGTGGAGGCATGAGTGAAATAG